GCATTTCCTGTTCCGGGGAATATACCGAAACTGATTCAGTGGCTCCACGGGCTCGCTCTTGGCATACCATAGCTCTAGTTACTATGTTCTCGCGCAGTAGAGTGACGTCAACATTCGTTCGAACCACCTCGGTTCGGACTATTGGAAGCCCTACGGGAGTATAACCTGACGGTTTATCTGCCGTTACCGGCGCTTCCGAGGGCATGGGAAATTTACTCTCCATCACCTCAGTCTGGTTCTGGGCTTTACTATCGTCAACACCCCCTTCTCCGCGTTCACTTTGGGCGTTACAGACGTTCTTTTTGTTAGCATTATCAGGGCAATCCTCGCTCTCATTGCTCAACGCACTCGTTACTATCAATACCGATTGTGCTGGCGAGGGTGACGAGGTTTCATTTACGGGGTTCGTTTCAGGGGACAAAGGAGTGGGGTCAACCCTTCCTAACCATTTCTTTCCTCGTTTTCCTTATTACATTGGGTACCGTACCTTTTACTGTACCCCAGTAATCCACACTCGATACATTTGAGTGATTTGGAGAAATCTCTTTCCCACTTTCGAGGACATTCTTGTCTCTTAGCGCGGTCCTTCGGGGTCGAGTTTGGCCTAGCAAAGTTATGTTTCATCCTCTCCAATATTCAATATTCTTTGAGGGATAACAGCATTTGATCCAATAAATGAACTTGCGGAGCTTTCTTATCGCTATCAACCGCTTCAATACTCCGACCATGCGTTGTCTCCGATGGCATCAGTGTACAGACGATCTCGTGCGTAACCTTTTCGAGTACTTTCTACATACGATCCAATCGATCACTAACCTCCGGCTTATTGTTGGATATCGCTGCTATCTTACTCTTGCGGCTCTTACTTCCATCGGTGTGAGGATGGTATGCTAACTCCGGATACAGGGTCGACTAGGGGTCAGGTATCACGCGTTCTACATTTCTTTGATTCAAGGTGTTCTATGCCGCCGAAGCTAACGTATCAGAACGCGTATAAAATTTATTTCTGCCCTACGCACCTGGCTCTAAATATCGATGAGGAAGTTGGCGTGTAATAGATCCAATTGGCGTTCATATGCCATCGGTGGATTCAGTCTTCCCACACATTAGGCCCATCATGTTGGTGATGTATACGTTAACCGGTTCATCTCGGCCTTGATATCGGATTTGCACTTCCATCATCGGTCGCTGTTACACGCAGGTTCCAAACCATTCCCCTGTGTCTGCTTCGAACTCAGGGTAGGTGAGACATTCTTCCATCATTACCTCGTACGAGGTAAGGGCGGGACCAACGAGCAGCTCCGATACTGATAATAGCATTTCCTCTTCCGTGAGTCCGACACCGTTCTTCAAATTATCGAGCCTTGACAGGAAGGTATCCCCACTCGCGTTACCCTCTCCGGAAAACTTGAGTTTCCATCCCTGGACAATACGACCAACCTCCCTTGTAGTTGACCAAGGGTTTGTTGTTCGCTGGCGTGATCACGTGCTCGGCGTGTGGTTATCCATTTCATTATTAACCCCATTAGGTTGATGCAAGCACGCAAAGGAAATAGATTCGGTGATATTAGACGAATACTAATACCAGGAAAGATCCAAATGCAAGTGTTTTAAAGTAAATGTTTAGCGTGGCAAATATTTTAGATAAAGACAGATAGAATGCGCGAGTAGAGTACGCGTGGTAAATGCTTTATATTAGTGATGAGGATGACGCTGAAAAAGTTTTTCTCGTATAATCGTAGCGCATCTAGATCATTCGTATAACTATGCCCAGCGATGCTTGTACGATTGACTAGATGCGCTATGACTATATGAAAAAAAACATTTTTCTAGCGTCATTGGATTCCTATTACCGCTTTCGATAGAGTTAAAAAAAGTACGCGAATAGAGTGAACGAGTTGAATAAGTTAATAAGAGATAGCAGTAGAGTGCAGAAGTCGAATGTGACAAAAAGAGAGCACGAATAAAAGTGCGGAGAGACTGCCCGCTCTATTGAAAAGGCTTGCAGGCAAATACTTTTTACGCATGTTTATAGGATGTATACATAGGCAGCAAATTAAAATTAAATGATAGAAATTATATTATATACATATATAAAATATACGAGTATAAATTTATAGATATATGTGTTTAATTTAATAATAAAAATAATGAATAATATTCTGTATACGAGGTCTGTTGGAAAAGTATTGCAAATTTTGTATGTTTTCAAAAATTATTTATTTATTCATGAATATTTATTTTATCTCCTTCAAAGTAATCCCCCTCGGATATAATGCACTTGTGCAAACGTTTTTCCCAATCGTAGAAGCACTTAAAAAAATCATTTTTTGTGATCTTGTTCACCTCCTCCTTCGATGCCATCTTTATCTCCTCAATCGTGGTGTAGCGTCGTCTTTTCATGGGCCTTTTCAGTTTTGGGAACAGGAAAAAGTCACAGGGGTCAGGTCTGGGGAATATAGTGGCTGCGGTACACTACTGTGTTGTTTTTGACCAAATATTTGCGCACAAGCAACGATGTGTGAGCAGAGGCGTTATCATGGTGCAAAAGCCAGTTTTTGTTCTTCGACAAATTCGGACGTTTTTGGCGGATTCCTTCGCGCAAATTGCGCATAACTTGCAGGTAATATTCCTTATTTACCGTACTACCCTGTGGCAAAAACCTTCATGTTCGACCGAACTCGGCGCGCTTTTTCGGACTTGGCTTATGCGGCAGCTTCTATTGAGATGATTGAGCTTTGGTTTCCACATCATAACCAAAAACCCATGATTCATCATCAGTTATGATGCTCTGAAGCACAATTGGGACGTCACGGACCGAGAGCGACATCTCTTGAGCAATGTTAACGCAATGCTGTTTTTGGTCGAAATTGAGCAGTCTTTGTACGAATTTCGCGGCGACCCGACCCATGCCCAAATCATTGGTTAAACTCAAATGGCATAAGCCAATCGATATCTTTAGATCCTCAGAACCTTCTCTATCGGTGATTCGACGATTTGCCAATACTATTTTCTTCACTTTATCAATGTTGTGACAGGGCTATAGCGATGCTCGCTGGCCCTGTGTGCGGCACTCTCCTCGCGTGAACGCAGCGACCAAGTGTACGCTATATAGCGACTACATACTTGTGTCGTTGCAGGATCTGGAGAGAGGAGCGCAACGATCGGCGAGGTGTCGCCGTGAGTGCGAGTGAGAGCGAGAAGAGCGAGAGAGAGAGAGAGAGCGATTTTGACTGATTTTTGACGGCGAGAGAAGTGGGAGCGCAGCGGCGCGAGGCTTGGAAAATTAAGAGAGAAGAAGGGCAGTTAGGCGCGAGCTCTCGAGTAATTAGGGCCGCCTAAGAAGAGACTGGACGAGAGGACATTTTCAGCCAGAGAGGAACGACTGCCGGAGGAGTGCGACTGCTACTTGCCAGGAGAACCAGGTGTTCCGAGCCGAGCCCGGACTAACAGCGACCATTCGCCGTCCCCGGGGCAAAGGCCGTGCTGCGGCTTCTCCTGCAGCAGTCCCAGTCATCGCCAGGGCGCCGTTTCCAGCGGGCCTGCGCTTTCGCCGGCGTCGTCTCTCTGTCGACGGACCGTCGGCATCCGGTGGGTCAAAAACCTGTTTATCTCTCTCGCGCCAGCTCTCGCTCGATTACGGACATTTGCGTATTTTGATTTTATCGCGCACGCTGAGCGATCTCGCTCGCGTGATCTCGCGAACTCTTGTCGCGGAAAGGCTGAGCGAGCGCGCTCGCCGCGGCGAAGTGAATCTTATAGCGATATTTGTGAAAAGGCGTCAATAAATGAGATCGCCATATGCAATATCATTGAATTAGAGTGTCCGTTTCTTTGTGTCAACCTTCCCCAGCCAGCGCGAACTTCGTCCTGTGAAAGTCAGCGCCGGCTTTCTTTACCGAGAAAGAACCCAGAAAAATTAGCAGAGACCAGCCCATGGCGCACGGAGGCTGACCACTCTTGCAATGTTTTCGTCTGTTGTTGACGTGCTCTGGAATTCGGCACGTTATTCGTCGTTCACATCTTCTCGGTCCTCTGAGAACATTTTGTACCACCGATAAATGTTGCTTTGGTTCAAGGTAACTTTACCATATATTACAGTCAACATTCGGAATGCGTCCGCGCACTTTATTTTGCTTTTCACACAAAATTTGGTACAGATTCTTTGATCCATTTTTCAGAATAGGCAAAAATCGAAGACGAGCCAAAACACATCCAAGCAAAATAGCTGTCAAAAATTAACTAAACATTCAAAATGATCGATCTTGTCAGCATAAGTAAGGGACACGAGTACCAACATAACGGTATAAAAAAAATCAAATATCAAATTTACGTAACCCGCGAAAATTCAAAATTTGCGATACTTTTTGAACAGATCTCGTATAGAGAAAAAGAATATTCTACTTTGAAGAGAAGTGTCTTAGTTTTAGAAAATAAACACTCAAAATATAATTAAATAAATATATTGAAGTAAACTAAAAATAAAATGCTAAACTTCTTAAAGTAGAGGTTCTTGCGCTATGTATGGTCAACAAAGAGGAAAGATTCTTGAAAAGTATTTGTCGATTCTCGGGCTGGTTTCATCTAAGATATTTTGCCATTTGTTATTGTTCACGTTCGGTTGATAACCGTTTTGTTTTTGTAATATTAGATTACTAATAGAAACTAAGTTTACCTCTATGTCATTGTTAATAAATATTGTACATATTTTGCTTCATTCATCTTTTATAATGAAATTATATTAGTGGATTATGAATCCATTCTTAAATAATAATTAATGAATAAGTAGCCTGAGCAATTTTGTGCTCATAAGGGTTTTTATATCAGGCTTTTCTATCGCAATACTAATACATCCACAAAAATATGAAAAATATGAAAAAAAACAGAAAATGCTAGGGTAAAAATGATCTATGTAAGGTTTGACATTACAATATTAAAATATTAACGCATAATGAAACTAAAAATACTTTTTATACAACTGTATTAGCTATAGAATTCACCTGGTTTGGAGCATAAAAGGCCATCAGATGTTAAAATTAAGTTATCAGGACATGCGCAACTTATTAGTGGAGACTCGGAATTGATCTTTGGAGACGGTAAACATAAATGACTACAACGACCATTGACAGCTTCACATTGATTTATACCATCAGGCTGCTTATATGGATGGTAAATATGTAGAACCATAGGATGTTGTATTGACTGATTCGATACGATTAATTGAACTTCTTTACCAGTAAATTTATTTGCTCTAAATATAGATTGCTTAGTCCAATCCGACCAATAAATGAAGTCTTCAAATACTGTAATACTGAATGGATGTCGCAGAAATTCAGTTGAAAATAAAATTGTACGTCGATGCATTCCATCGTAGTCACTAGATGTAATAATATGTAATTTCGCATCAACCCAAAATATTCGTCTGGCTATAAGATCAAGCGCTAATCCGTTGGGCCATTTAATATCTTTTTCGATAATTACCTATAATCAATAAGGTAATTTCATTATAATAAAGCTGAATATTATTTTGAAATCTAATTTGCCACTTTGTATAGTATGTCTTTATAATGATAGATATGTATATAAAAAGAATCCGATGCATATTGTTGTAAATCATAAATAGTCGTAACATAATACATGCTTATGTATACATAAATACAAGCAAGATACCTTAAGTATAAATATATGATTTCAATGAAATTTATAAAGGACCAAAAATTATATTACATCTCGATAGTTGCATATCATGACGGGATTGATATTCAACGTGAGAATATCCAACTTTTCTTGCTTTTCTTCCAAAAATAGGTAAAATAACTAATGTTTTTTGTACAAAACCATAATCGGTTTCTTCTAACTTACATTTCATCATAGAGTTGGCTACTCCTTTTCGTCATTAACGTCAATACGCCTTCTCAGACAACTCAAATCATATTGTATCCTTTTTAGTCCATAAACTTCAAATTGTATTACTATTGTACATGTGTATCAAAAATAATTGTAAACCTGGAAAAAATTTGCCAGGATCTTATTTTCCGAGAAAACTGTTCAAGAAACAGTTATAAAGGTTGGACCAAAGAAATAATTGATGACTTTAACTTTAATAACCTTGGGGTTAAAGTTTTTTTTAAATGGCAAACCCTATATTTTATTTTGGTAATGAAAAGAGCGGAAACTGTATTTAATGTGTTAACATTAATCAAAAATTGTGTCTACTATAAAGTTAAAATATTTTGTTTTATATTTCCAAGATGTCATTTGTCTAAAAAAATACTGAATGCCAGACGTAAGGAAATAGTTCGACAAAATAAAAGCTTTGAGTAACAGGGTATTCGTTCTAATCATAATAAGCACGCTGCCACGCTAAGAGCTACATGTGAAGAAACTCATTTAGACTATATCAATTCAATACAAGTATAAATTGACTTAATAGATAAAATTTGCTAACGTTGAAACGCTAAAAAATTGGAAAGATGAAGCACCTGAAATATGTTGTGCAGGAGGTAAAATTTCTTTGTCACAATTTGATAAATCACCTGAACCTTTAAAAAAATAGATTTTGGGATTGCATATCTTATCAAAAATTTTCTTGATAATGCTAGAAAATATAATACATTATTATAAATGACCACTTATGGTGCTAAAGAAGTTGTTGAAGATAATTTTATGCCAATATTGAAAAATTAAGGTAATGTCTACCACAGTAGAGGCATTTTTTTTCCTTTGCATAATAAGAATCATTTAATTTTACAAATATTCTTTATTTCGAATGCTAATTAATCATGACTACACTCAAATATTGTATCTAATTAATTGTTATTTAACAAAATGTTTTTTTCTTTTTCAAAATGAAAAATTGGAAACCTCTGACAAAACTTGCCGGTGACGTCACGACCAATAAGCGAATTAGAATAACATTTGATTCCGTCCGCAACGAAAAATAAATAGGTATAAGGGTAAATCTTTCTCATCAATCAATACTGACCAAAAATGATTTTTTCTCGGAAAGAGGAGAAGTAAAAGGATCTTTTACCGCGAAGAGCCGTTTCTCGTCCATTTTGTCGCTGATCGCTAACGCTTCTAGAAGCAATTCCTGAATTAACTGAGACCATCAAAGGACTTTGTGTTTTGTCGAGTGAGTCTTCAGCTGTAATCTGTAAGTAGGAAAAGTGCTACACAGTAGTGATAGTTGCGAAGTACTGTGCATGATTTTTCGTGTCAATAAACCCGTCGTGACGCATGGATCCGTCAACGCCGGGAATATAGTGTTCTGACCGAGTCACGCTGACCAACCGCCATTTCTCGATCTAGCTTGAGTGTAAGAAGTGTGAGGAATTTAGATATCTAGATGAAGTTCGAATCATCATCACGAATTGGATATCGAGCGTATAATTCGTCGCATGTTGGATTTGCCGATACGCGTGAATCCGTTTCCGCAACGTATTAAATCGCGTCGGGCCGCGCTGACCATCCGCCATTCTGATCGAATTGTACCCTAGCCATCGAATAAAGAAAAGTGAAGTGTAACCGATCTTTATTATTTCCGCTTCGTTGACCCTTCCCTCCCTGCATGCTGATTTTATTTTCAGCCGCAGTCGATCTGTAGCAAGGATTCTTTTTTTTCATTACTCGTTCCGAGCGTTAATTGACCTACGCGTTAGATCGAACGAATCTCCGACCGGAGACAAAGAGTCGTATCCCGAGCTGCTGGCACTTTCAGGACGTGAGAGAACGGAGAAAATCAACGATTGGTTGGTACCATCGGCCTGAGGAAAGGATATAGCCGTGAGGTCACCAACCTGCCTACTCTGCAGAGTCGCACAGTGGGCAAATAGACCAACGGTGCGATTTTCCGACCCTATCCCCGACGATCGCCGTAAATTAGGAACGGCAGTCTGGCACCCTCATAAGTAATCAGGGGAAAACGGTCCAATCAGGCCTTATGGCGGAACTACTTCAAGTGCGCGACTAAGACACCCCGAAATTTCGCGCCACAATCTTATTAAAAGTTTTACATGTTGTCTTAATTATATTTTATATAATTTACAAAATATGTCTGATACTAATGATGATTTTAAACTTGCATTCCTATAAATCAGTTTCGAAGCTGTTACAATGCTCAAATTAATTATTAATAAAGTTGCTGTACTACTGGTAAATTATAAAGGTCTCAGAGATGTTAGTTTACGCTACCGAGATACGTTTCAAAATTTCATCATTCGTATGATGCTCTTCAATAACCTCTTATTTTTTCTACAGGACGAAATGAGTATAATCAAACAGTCACATATTACTCAAAATATTTCTTGCATACCGTTTTACGCTTATAGATTTATAATCAGTGTAAAAACTATGAACTATCTGCATTTTTTTTAATTTATTTAATCAGTATACTGTCGATATGAAAGTTAAAATAATTACTGAACGGATAAATTATATAATGTAACGTCTCTTGATCGCAGTTCATCAACATAAAATTTAAGATTAAGCTATATTTAAGGCGAGACGTAATGCAATTACGTACACGCAAGCTCGCCTAATTCGGACAGCTGAGCTATTTTTTGATACTCCTGTCTACATAGTCAGCTGGAGCGCCGTGTGGTTCAACGTAAAGATCTAGACCTGTAGAGATTAAATCGCATCACTGCGTAAATGTAAAAATCAGCGGAAAAAGGCAAAATAATAAAGCAAGGTCGAAGTATAATAGCATTTATGTACTGCAAGCGAGTTAGATGCAAGAAGCAGCAAGATAGAGAGAGTGACAAGTACACCATGAAAGCTGGAAGAAAGATAAACCATGGCCGATACTTCCAGTTCGCAGCTCTGATCGACGATGAACGGTCTCGCTGCAGGCGCACAGATAACCAAACTCTTTCTCGTCAAGAAGTGCGGGTGGCAACAGATCAGTATGCACAGCTCAAAAGCGAGCACAAAAAAACCAGCACAACAACTGTAAACAATCGGGTAGTCGAGTCGTCTCATGCGGTGTAATTTTAGAAGGGACATGTGCTCGCGTCTGTGGTCGAATGAATTCTAGCCCGCTAAAAAGGAATTCTGTGTGTTTGTATGTTTACGCGGTCCGGGCTTCGAAAAATCATGTGTATCTCTGTCTAGCCAACTCTCTCTCTCTCTCTCTCTCGCTTACCTTATGCCAGCTCTCGGGAACAAAATAAATGTTATAATAATAATATAATTCGTATAATATATAATATAAAGTTGACACAGGAGAGAAAGACATAACAAGTAGGAACAATACTCGTTATAATAAGATATAATCAAACGAAGCTACGTACTGATGAATATATATATGGGCAAATCGACCGAACCTTTAACTTTTGCGTAATACGTATAAGTCGATGATAATTACATTTGTATAACATTTCAAACTTACAATTTTCACTTACAAAAACTTTACAACTCACAAAAAATTTTCAGTGTCCTAGTACTTATACAGGGTGTCCAAAAAGTAACGATACATCTGAGAAATTTTCTAAGCCGGTTATTTTTTTAACCGGGTGAAGGTTGTTCTTGAAGTAACTTTTTACGAGGAATCCGATGGTGACCTTGGATTTGACCTTGAACCTCATTTTCAAGGTTATTTTGAGGTCAACCTCATTTTTTTAAATGAAAACCCCTATTTTTTATGGCGGAATCGGAAAGAGCGGAAAATTTTACGTCCAGATATGTATTGAGGTATGAGGTTGAGGTAACCCCTAGAGGTCAACTGGAGGTCAAAGTATGAATTCTTAAAAATCTCGCGAATTCAGTGGTTAAACAAAACAAACAAAAGGATAACCCCAGGTAACTTTCAACGGTGCTCTTTAATTTGTCCTTGAACCTCATTTTCAAGGTTATTTTGAGGTCAACCTCATTTTTTTTAATGGGTACCCCTATTTTTTATGGCGCAATCGAAAAAAGTGAAGACTCTCACGTATGGATGAGTTGAGGTTTGAGGTTAATGTGACCTCTAGGGGTCAGATGAAGGTCGAACTGTGGCTTTGTAATAGTACCGGGATTTTAGTGGTACAAGGAAGTAAATAAAGGTCATGGAAACACCCATTTTCGACAGCGGCAATCGAAAGAGCGGAAAATTTCACATCCAAATATCTACTTAGATCATAAGTCAAGGGCGAACTTAAAGTTTAAGGTCAGTCGATGGTCATCCAAACTTAAAGACGCCCTAAAATTTTTTAAAGTTTTTTTCATAATGGAGAAGGATATTTATTTAGTAATTGCCCATCGGAGATCCGTGACCTTGAATTTAACCTTCAACCTCATTATCAAGGTTTTTTCAAGATCAATTTTTTTTACTTTTAGCGTTACCCAGGAACAACGACGTGGACGTAGTAAAATCTGTCCCTTTGGGGTGCTTTATTTTCGTGAGTTCCCCTCGCCTCTCACATATCGGGATGCTTGATTTTCGTGAGTTCCCCTCGCCTATCAACAATGATTTTTTACGCTTATTTTCTTAATAACTTGAT